GGGCTGCCGTCCTGCTGTGCTGGCGAAGGGGAAGTCATGGCTGGGTGTCCTGTATCCCAGCTGTGCATAACAAGGGTTGAGACCCACAGGGGTTGAAACCCACAGGGTTTGAGCCCCCAAACTCCCATCAGCACTGCTGGAGCTGGAGGGCATCACACAGGGGATTTCTGATGGCCAAACCTTTGGCAGACCCCCCTAGGGAAGGGTCCTCCTTCATGACTCGCCCAGCAAGACGTTAGCTACTGCTCCTGCACCTCTTCCCACCACAGCAGTGCCACGGCCCCAGGCTGGGGGTCCCTGGATCAGGGCTTTCCACCACCTCTTGCAGCCCCCAGACCCAGCATGGAGTCTGGCTGGGCTTGGGCACGTGGCCGCCAATGGGAACCAGGAGGAGGCTGATGTCATTTTTGGATGCAACTGGCTGGACTGAAGCCATTCTAGTAAATCTCCCTTTAATAACTGGCAGCAAGGGGGATTGTAGGAGACACTGATCCGTAGATCCTGGATGGAGATCCGAGCTGCTGTGTGGAGGGTTGTGGCTCAGAGCTGTGGGGTCACTCTGTTCCGTGGGGTGCACCAGCTGGCTCCTGAGGGAAGTTCAGCGAGGGGAGGAAGAGAAAAAGGCTGGAGAAATGGGGGCAATAAAAAGATGTGCGTGCTGAGGCTGGGGCCATGGAGCCAGGAGAGCAGCTTCATCTCAGCACCATCCATTATAAATCATATTTCCCTGCTGACAGCACCGAGGAGCTGATTTTCTTCCCCACCCGGGTCCTGACTTGCAGCTCCAGGAAACCAGGTGGCATTGATTTGGGGGCTGTTCCCTTCCCTGCCAGCTCTGGGCCTGGGGAGCTGGTGACAGTTTGATGTGGCAAATTTGGCATGGGAGGAGAGGCTGCTCTGGAGCACAGTGTCCCTCGGCACGGTGCTGCAAGGGATGGCAAGCTGGGAGCCCTGAGGCCATCATGATGGGCTCAGGGAATTGCGGGGCTGCTCTCTCAAAGCTGCTACCTGGGACCAGCTACAGATACAGGGAAATCCCTTCAGTGTCCACAGGCAGCCCCCATTGCCTGCTGCCCTGGGCAGGAAAGGGCAGCCTCAGGAGTCTGGCAGCTCCCAGGCAGGCTGCTCGGCATCCCGGTGTGTGCCTGCTCCTGCTCCCAGGCTCCTGCCTGCCCGGCCAAGCACTGGGATATGGGATCCAGATGCTGGAACAGGATGATGAGTTCACTTGATGCTGCAAGTCGAGACATCCCCCCAAACCCCGGGCGAGCCAGGGAAGGCAGCAGGACCCGACCGTGTGATGAGAGATTTGTGCCACCACTTCTGAGCCATCCCCAGGCAGTTGGAAGGGAGAAGCACCCGCGCTTGGCCAAGGCACAAACCCCTCACGCTGCTGTAAATCTGCCTTGTGGTGTCTGCCATGCTCTCCAGACACTTGGTGTTCGTGCTGTGCCCTCTCCTTTGTGGGTGGCAACTGTCTGGGAGAATAGAGACAAAAAAATACAGAGCTGGGCAGGAAAAGAGTTGGAGCCCTAGGAAAGGATCAGTGACAATGGTGCTGGTGCATCCAGCACCAGCTGGTCCCAGTCCCGGTGCCCCCAGCAGCACCAGACCCCCTGTGTCACCCAGCCTGGGGGCAGGAGAGTGTGTGGTGGGTGCAGAAGGGGAAGGAAAGGGGAAGTTGCTTGGTTTGAGGGCAGCCCTCCTGCTCCCCACCAGGAAGGGGTCTTCCCATTGGAGCCCAGAGCACACCGGGGCTCATCCTGCATCCCTGTTCTCTTTGGTGCCTCAGCACCAACACTTCGGTACTTGGGGCAGCTCCTTGGTCTTCTGCAAACACCCGAGAAAGGATCTTTGGGATGTGCATCCCATGGATGGTGCTCGGGGCTGCACCATGGATCCAACAAAACATCCTTCACTCCTTTTTTTGTTGGTTTTTTTTTTTTCTTTTTCTGTTCCAGAGAAACCCGAACCCAAAAATAAAGGCAAAAAGAGGCAGAAGAAGCCCAAGACAGACCCGCACGTGGGTACCTAGCAGGATCGGCACGGGAGCCGGGAACTGCGGCGGGAGGCGGTGGGGAGCCCTCCGTGCTGCCCTCCGGAGGCACCGAGAGCTGCCGCCCGCCTCCCGCCGCCCTGCCCCGGCCACGTCGCCTCTGTTTTTCCATCCACAAAACAAAAAATTGCACAATTTCCCCACACACACACATCCCCCACCCCCTTTTCCTCCCCTTCCCATTTTCTTTTGTGACAATTTATGGCCTGTAAGACATTTCCTTTTCAGAAAACCTAATTTGCAGTGTCCAAAGCGATGCCCTGGGGCTGGGGGAGGGGGTGGCTCCTTTATTTTTATTTTTTTCTCTCTCTTCCCCCCAGACTGTTCCATCCCTTCTCTTCCTCCAGCCGGGTGGGATGGGGTTGGTCCCAAGTCCCTGGTGAGGATGATGCCTGCCTGGGTACTGTCCCCCAGGGCTGGGAGATGTCCTGTCCCCACGGTGTCCCGGTGGCACAGGGGTGCACAACGTGCCACCAAGCTGCTCTGGGTGCACGATGGGGTCCTCCATCCTCAGCTACTGGCATGGAGAGTGGTGGCACCACTAGGGTTGGGACCCCTCTGTGGACTGTGCCAGCCAAGTGCTGAGCATCCCCAGTGGCACAACCGTGGGCCAAACCCTGCCATCCTTGAGCTTGGAAGGCAATGGGACACCCAGAGCTAGGAACTCCACTGGGGACCATGCCAGCCCAGTGCTCAGCATCCCCACCAACACAACCATGGGCCAAATCCTGCCGTCCTCATGCACACAGCAGTAATGAAGGAGCTTCTGTCCCAAGCTGGATGTAGGCACAGGAATTTGGGGTGGCTCTGGCTATATTTGGT